ATCCATCCTGTTTGTCCAGACTGGCAAGAGTAGTGGGCAGAGGTCAGACCCTGCAGAGTCTATCTGGGCTTAAGGAGAGGCACAGAGGAGTGGGCAAATTTAAATTTTGGAAAGACCGCTCTTGATATTGAAGGACAGATTGGAGAGAGAAGCCAGTCTCGGAGGGCTGAATACTATAGGATTCCATTTATATGACTTACTGGAGGTGCAGAACTATCATGACAGAAAGCAGATGTGGGGCTGGGGAGGAGGGAGAGCAGTTGACAGTAGGGGCACAGGAACTTGTGGGAGGTAATGGAGCCATTTCTGGTGGTGGATACACACCTGTGTGCATTTGTTAGGACTCACAGGAGGGTACACTCAAGAGGATGAATTTTACTGTGTATAAATTATATCTGAATTTTTTAAATATAAAAGGAAACAAAAAAGAATGCATTTATAGATAAATGGGAGAGAATCAAGAGTCCAACTATAAACCATTATATTTCTGGTCAATTGATTTTTGACAAAGGTGCCAAGACAATTTGATGGGCAAAAAAGATAGACTTTTTTGTGTGTGTGTGGCTAGCCAGTATGGGGATCTGAACCCTTGACTTTGATGTTATCAGCACCACGCTTCCCCAAGACTGGCCAGCCCAGTCTTTTCGATAAATGGTGCTTTGACAATTGAATATCCACAAGCCTAGAGATGAATTTAGATCCTTCCCTTACATGGTGCACAAAAATGAACTCAAAATAGATCATATACTTAAATGTAAGCTAAAACTATAAACCTTCTAGAAGAAAACATGGAAGAAAAACTTCTTTGGCCTAGGGTTAGGCAGAGAACAGCAAAAGCACAACTGACAAAAGAAAAAAAACGATAAATTAGACTTCATCAAAATTTTAAATTTTGGCCGGCCCGGTGGCGCACTGCGCTAGTGCGCCGCTTGAGAAGCGCGGAGGCGCTCCCGCCGAGGGTTCGGATCCCACATACAGACCGGTTCCCGCTCACTGGCTGAGCGAGGCACGGGGGCAACACCGAGGGTTGCGATCCCGTTGCCGGTCCCGGTCCGGTACGGGGGCGACACTGAGGGTTGCAATCCGTTGCCGGACACGGAAAAAGACAAAAAAAAAAAAAGAAAAGAATAAAAAAAAAAATTTAAAAAATTTTTTTAAGAGGACCAGTAAGGGGATCTTAACACTTGACTTGGTGTTGTCAGCACCACACTCTCCCAGTGAGCTAACCGGCCATCCCTATATAGGGATCCAAACCCGTGGCCTTGGTGTTATCAGCACCACACTCTCCTGAGTGAGCCACAGGCCAGCCCTAAAATTTTAAATTTTTGCACTTCAAAAGACACCATTAAGAAGAAAAACTAGGAGAAAATACTTGTAAATCATATATCAGATTAGGGACTTTGTATCTAAAATATGGAGAAATCTTACAAATCAATAATAAAACAACTCAATTAAAAATGGGCAAAGATTTGAATAGATGTTTCTTCAAGTAATACATATGAATGGCTAATAACTACATGAAAGATGCTCAATATCATTAGTCATTAAAGAAATGCAAATTAAAACCACAATGATATACCACCTCACCGCCCACTACGATGGTTATAATCAAACAGACAGATAACAAGCATTGGTGAATATGTGGAGAAACAAATCCTCATATGTTGCTGGTGGGAATGTAAAATGGCACAGCAGTTTTCTTAAAAAGTTAAAAATAAACTTAACATACAACCCAGCAATTGCACCCATAGGAATCTACTCAAGAGAAATGAAAACACACATCTATACAAAGACACCTACGTGAATGTTCATAGCAGCATTATTCAAAATAAACAAAAACCGGAAACCCAAATGTCCACCAACTGGCAAATCGTTAAAATGTGGCATATGGGGCCGGCCCGGTGCGCCACTTGGGAGCGCGGTGGTGCTCCCGCCGAGGGTTCGGATCCCACATACAGACTGGTTCCCGCTCACTGGCTGAGCGAGGGGCGGGCGCAGCACCGAGGGTTGTGATCCTGTTGCCAGACACAAAAAAAGACAAAAAGGAAAAAAAAAAATGTGGCATATGCATACAATGGAATACTAGTCAGCAGTTAAAGGAACAGACGACTGGTACATGCTACTGCATGGATAACCCCCAAAAAACATTATACAGAGTGAAAGGAACCAGAACCAAAACACCACATATTGTGTGATTCCATTTATATGGAATGTCCAGAAAAGGCAAATTTGGAGAGACAGAGAGCAGGTCAGTGGTTGCCTGGGGCTGGTGTTTGGAGCTGGATGGGCTGCAAACAGGCAGGAGGGAGCTTATCAGGTTGATGGAAATGTTCTCTAACTGGATTGTGGTGATGGTTGCACAACTCTACAAATCACTGAATTTTTAAGAAATGAACAGTTTAAAGGGACACTGGAGTGGACGACCTATTAGGATACCATAGTGGTCCTCCAGGGGGGCAGCGGGGACCTAGGCAGCCTCCAGAGGGCTGGAATGAGACGGAAAGTGCAGGAACTAGGTGCAAGGGATGGGTGCACAGACCCGTGTTACCCCCATCCCCCAGTCTAAGTCTTATTGAGGGCAGAAAAGAGGGAGTAGCAGAAGATTGGAAAGGCACAGTTAAGAGCATTTGGGTGTGTAACTATGGGGTGGTTTAGAATGCCATCAGCATGTTGGCGAGAATCCATAATTATTATATACTATCAGTCCCCATTCCCAGACTGCTTTGCTTGCCCCACCACTTTTTCTTCCTTTGTAAACTGGAAGGCGCTTTGTGGTCTGTGGTGTATTCTTTTTTGCAGCCTGGCGATACGGGGATCCGAACCTGTGACCTGAGGTCGGAAGACTGTGCTCTAACCACCTGAGCTAACCGGCCAGTCCTAGTATATCTCATTAGACTAAATCAAGCCACGTAATCCGGCGGACGCCAGGCGCGCGGTAAGCCCTGTGCTCTTGGAACCCGGGCCTGGGAAGGTGGTCTGGACCGGTCCGCCCGGCCCCGTCCCAGGACGCAAGCTCACGAGCTGCGGTACAGGCTCAAAACGTAGCAGTAGCCGCGGCCGGCAGGGGGCGCCCAGACGCAAGGCGCGGCCCCGCCCCGTCACGTGCCCTTGGCGGCGCGTCACACCCGGAAGCAGCCGCCCGAGCGGAGCGGGCCGCAATGAGCGGGGAGTCGGGGCCGATGTCCGTAGCGCCCCCTCCCGGGGAGGTCGAGCCGGGCAGCGGCGTCCGCATAGTGGTGGAGTACTGGTGAGCGGCTCCGACGGGAAGCCCCCCGCGCCCCGGGCCAGACGGGGGTGGGCCCACGGGAGGCCCCTCCCTCGAAGCCCCGGCCCACCCCAGGTCTCCTCTCCCTAGTGAACCCTGCGGCTTCGAGGCGACCTACCTGGAGCTGGCGAGTGCCGTGAAGGAGCAGTATCCCGGCATCGAGATCGAGTCGCGCCTGGGGGGCACCGGTGAGACCCGCAGAACACCTGCTGAGTCAGTGTGTGTTCTAAATCCCAGCTCTACCACTCTCTACCTCTGACGCTGGCTGCTGTATCTAAAGTGCCCAACGGTGTCTGGCACATAGTAAAATGTCCAGCCAACATGAGTCCCTTTCCGTGGGTGAGGGGGTCACAGAGGAGGCCTGTAGGGAAAAACCGGTTAGACGGCAATAGCGTAGGGTTGGTGGGAGGGAGCCCTTCGAGTGATGGAGGGACACACAGGTGAGGCCTCCCTTAGGTTCTTTTGAGCTGACCTATGGTTGGGGAATGACTTGAGTTTCAAATGAGTCTCTAATGGGGCTGCTGGGGGACATCAAGGAACCTGTTAAGTGACTGTGGAGGGCCCTTTTTGCAGGATGTCCCCTGACTTCTGCCTCTGTTCTCAGTATATCATTTCTTCATTTGTTATTTCATACCAGGAGCCTTTGAGATCGAAATCAATGGACAGCTGGTGTTCTCCAAGCTGGAGAATGGGGGCTTTCCTTATGAGAAAGATGTGAGTATTTGCAGTGCTGGGAGGACCCCTGGGTCACCCTACCCCAACAGTGCCGTCATCCCATTCCACATCTCTGCCCTCTAGCTCATTGAGGCCATCCGAAGAGCCAGTAACGGAGAACCTCTAGAAAAGATCACCAACAGCCGTCCTCCCTGTGTCATCCTGTGACTGCACAGGAACCCGGGTTCCTGCTGTTCTGGGGTCCAAGCCTTGGTCTCCCCTTTGGTCCTGCTGGGAGCTTCCCCTGCCTCTTTCTCCTCAGCTCCTGGTAGCTAAGAGACCCTGGCTTCCACTTTGCCCGTTTGGGTACAAGGAGGGAGTAGAAGCTTCTGTAGGCTGTGGAAGTAGGAGAGAGGTGCTCTCCATGGACTTTCCACAGCCACCTTATACCCCCTGCCTAGGATCAGAGCCCATAAGAGCCCAGTCCCCTCCCAGCTTGGCAATACCCGTGAGATGCCACAGTAGATCTAATTTATTCTCCCCTAGTCCTGGGCAGTGTCAGCTATTGGCAATAAAGTGGCACTACAAACGGTTGCACCAATTAGTGTGTGTTTTTATGTCCAGTCTGGGCGTGTGGGGGGCACAGAGATCAGCCCAGTCTTTGTACCACTAGGGTGGCTGTGCTGGGTAGGTGGGCTTTTTCCGGACAGCTACCTCTTAATTCAGTGAGCTCCCCCCCACAGCCAAGGTAAGGAAAATGAGTCACACAGCAAACACTGCCTCTTCTTTACCCCATCCCTTCCCCCCACTCCCCTTACCCAAAGGGAGGAGATTAGACCATTCTGTTGGGTGGCCTTAGGTATTAATTTGTTCTAAGCAAGAATGATCAGGATGTCAAAGGGCGCTCAGATCAAAATCCCAACTTCCCTATCCCCCTACCCAAAAGCCAGGGAACTGGGTGTTCAGCTCCTCATTGAAGCTTTCTGAGGGTTCCTAGCCACTCCCTCCAGGCAAAGAGGAGTTGAATGTAAGGTGAGCAGTAAGGGATGGCACAGAGCCACCCCCAGACACAGGCTGGTGCCCAGCTGTTTTCCAAAATATATTTGCAAATGGGGAAAGTGGGTGTAGAGAAAGGGACATCCCTCCCTGCAACCCCAAGGACTCTTTCATACAAAACCCACCCTCCCCTGGGTCCTTATTTCATCTTTAAAAAACAAAACAAGTAAAAATGAAACAAAAAAGCACTCTGTACAAGGACTAGATCTTGACACTATTGCTGCTCCCTTCCCTGGACGCAGCACTAGGTCTCAGGGACAGTCTCTGAAGAGGTCGCTCTCATTCTGAGACACCCCTTGGGGCCTCTTGCCCTCCTAGGCCCAGCTCCCCTAAGTCCTTTAGTACCAAGGATCTGGAAGAAGAGGGCCAGGCTGGGCCGCTGCCTCAGGTGGGGAGACTGTGGCTGTGGCATCCATTGGACCCTAGAGTCTGGTGGGACAGGGTTCCAAAATCAGTCAAACCACTCTGTGCTGCTCCCTCTTCCACCTGGGCTGGGCCCCTCTTTGCCACCTAGGAACTCAAGCAGGAAGGAAGGTTCCTTAGGACAGGTTCCTGGCATGGCAGGGTCCCCTGGATGTGGTCAGAGGCCCTCTCTCCACCTTGTCGTGATGCAGGCCGGAAGCCAAGTCTTTCCCACTCCCTGAGGCCTCAGCAGACTTGGCCTCCTGGCTCACACTGGCACATCCAGGCCCAAGTATTCAGGGTTCTCTGCTGTAGGGGTCCCTTCGAAGGTGCTGGGTGGAGACCCCCGCTCTGATGGGTCCTGGTCCCAGTAATAGAGGTTGTCAAAGGCTGGGCTGAAGGTAGGAGGTGGGTGGGGCTGAGGGGCAGCCCCTCCACGGGGTGCCAAGTATTCGGGGTTCTCCACTGCACCCCCAAAGGCAAAAACGTCTTTGACAACCCCATTCTTCCCGGGGGAAAGAGTCTTGGGCCTTTCCAGAGTGGCACCAGCAGGTCGGGCTTGAGGCAGAGGGCCCTCTAGGGGTGAGGGGGGCTGCGTCCGAACCTCTGGCTGGTTCACATATTCTGAAAGGGCAAGAGAAGAGGACTTGTTAGGGAAAGGAACCCAGGTGTCCCTGCCACTACCACTGCCACCAATTCCCCCACCTCCCAGTCGTTTAGCTTGGGCCTGGATTCCATACCGGGCTGGCGGCTGCAGGTCAGGGGAGCAACATAGCCATCAGTCTCAGGGGGCTGGGGTACTGTGGGGTCCTCGCTGTACCGCTGTAGAGGGCTGGGGTCATGTTGGGTGAGGCTCTGCAGTCCTTTGGCTGCCCCCATCCCCAGGTCACCATCAAACACATCAGAGCCAGCCCCTTCTGAGGGTGCCAGCGGAGATCTGGGGGGCTCCTCTTCGGAGGGCTCCAGCCCCAGCGTCAGCTCACCACCACCACTCTGGGGACAAGAGAAAAAGTCATGATGAGGTCACTTGTGGATCTGGGATGGAGACTCCATGGGATGTGACGGGGTCACAGGAGAAGAACAGAGGTCACCTTTGGGGTGGACAGAGTTACCATGGAGTGAATCGGGTCACAGGGTTTGAAATATAGGAATCCTCCTTAGGGATATTGGGGTCTCCATGAGAGGTGATGATTGGGGGAACGTCAGAAAAAGGGACCCTAGTCCACTGGGGTGGGAGGAGGTAAATGGCCACCACAGTGTGACCGAACACACTGACCCTGGTGGATGAGCTGCGGTGCCTGCGGTGGGCTGTGCTCCCAGTGCCTGCGGCAGGGTCTGGGCAGAAGAAGCCCTGCTGGGGTACCAGATACTCCTCAGCATCCACCAGGTCCCCCATGTCATCATCCTCCAGCAGTGAGCGATAGAAGGTGCTGTCCAAGGGAGTGGCTGGGCCCAAATCTTCATTCTGGGGAGGAGGGAGACACAGGGTGGCAACCCCTCCCCCGCCCAGTGTACAGCCTCCCGGGGAAGGCTCACGAGGGCAAGAAGTGAGGGCTGGGCTTGGAGGCCTGCAGTCATCTCCCTTTCACACCCTCTGCAGGTGGGTGCTCTCAGTCATCATAGGCAGGGATGGGGCAGAAAGGCCCAGTACCTGGATGACCACAAAGCGCTGAGGGTCCCTGGCCATGCGGGAGAATTCAGTCACCAACTCCCGGAATCTCGGCCGACATTCAGAGTCAATCATCCAACCTGGGGCAGGAGAGGGCTCAGCATCCTAGCCACGGGGCCAGCTGTGTGCTGGCAGCCTCTCCCCTACCGCTCCATCTCCAGGCTGGTCTAGACGACCCCACTGACAGCCCACGCCCTCAGGTGCTAGAAAAGCAGCTCTAGACTCTGGAGATTTGAGCCAGAACCCTTAGGCATCTCTGCTAGCTTCCCCTTTTAATTTTGCATGTAAGTCTCTCTAGCTGTTCCTCTAGAGCAAGAGCGCCTCTGGAGTTTTACTGTAAAAGGGCTACGAGATGCTTTTGAGGCTCCTTTAAATATACCAGGGCTCCTGGTTCCACACACATCCTACTCCTGCTGCCCGACTTGCCCCTTGTGGGCCCCTCCACCCATGCCCTCCCGCCCTTCTCCATGCAGCCAGAGTGGCCACACACATTTGACCATGATCATGTAGACATCAATGGTGCAGATGGGGGGCTGGGGCAGCCGCTCCCCCTTCTCCAGCAGGTCAGGGATCTCACGGGCTGGGATCCCATCATAAGGTTTGGCCCCAAAAGTCATTAGCTCCCACACAGTCACACCTAGGGCAGAGAGAGGGGTCAGGGGTGGGAGAAGCAGAGGGAGCTTTAGTGTACTGAGCCCAAAGGCTCTATCCAGGAGCCTGGCACCATGGCGGGGGAAGGAGACGTGATGCCCCAGGGACAGGGTCCACCCAGTCTTTCCCCAGTCCCTGGGAGTGCACAGACCCTGCAGGTGAAGGCACAGGCAACCTCTTCCTTCCCTCCCACATGATAAGGTGTCCCCATAAATTCTCCTCCTTCCCAGCTCTCATCCTTCCACCAACATTCCCCCAGGGCTATGGCTCCCCATCCACCCCCACCCAGCCTCCCCACCACGCACCATAGCTCCACACATCACTCTGGTGGGTGAATCGCCGGCGGAGAATGGACTCCAACGCCATCCACTTGATGGGCACCTGGGGGAGCAGAGGAGGAAGTCCTCTGTTGGGTGTGGTGAGAGGGGTGGCCGTTCTCAGAGCTCTTCCGGGGGCCGGACCCTTATTCCACCCCACCTCACTCTGCCCCCTCCCCTGACCTTGCCCCCATCTGCGTGGTACTCCGTCTCATCAATGTCCAACAGCCGAGCCAGCCCAAAGTCTGTAATCTTCACGTGGTTGGGACTCTTGACCAGCACGTTCCGGGCAGCCAGGTCCCTGTGCACGAGCCGCACGTCCTCCAGGTAGCTCATCCCCTGGAATGGGAGGCACCATGTGGGCCTTCGGGTAGGGCCTGGCGCACTCCCAGGAAACATCCCCATCCTAGGCTGTATGGAGATAGAGGCTTGTCCCAGGGACCCGCAGAGCTCAGGCCCCCCAAGTGCATACCTTGGCAATCTGCACACACCAGTTCAGCAGGTCCTGGGAGCCCAGGCGCCCGCGGTGTTCTCGGACGTGGTCTAGGAGGCAGCCATAGGGCATAAGCTGTGTCACCAGCTGCACCGTGGATGTCAGGCAGATGCCCAGGAGGCGGGACACATATGGGGAGCCCACACCAGCCATCACGTACGCTTCCTGGGGGCAAGGCTGCACTGAGAGGGTGTGGGAGACCACAAACCTCAACTGCCACACATCTCTCCTGAGGGGCGAGTGCACGACTGGGGACCCTCACCCATCCTACCCCATCCATCACAAAGCACAGCCCACAGACTGGAGAGGTTGAGAGTTGAGGTTTGGGGGGGATCACATCTCCCAGACCCCAGTGAAGAGAGCCCAGGGCCCAGACCTGCAGCCAGGGGGTCCCCTCCTGTACGCCCAGCAGGAGGGGGCAGGGGGGCTTACGTCCAAGATTTCTTTGTTGGCTTTGGGGGATGTGTTTTCCCTCAAAACTTTGATGGCCACAGGGATTTTCACATTCTCCCCATCGGGGATCCAGATGCCCTGAGCAGAAAGAGGAGGATGTGGGCGAGAAGAGCGGGTCCGGATCCAGCCTACGTCCTAGCGGTCATCACTTGGACTGGGGCTTGCCTTGCTAGCGCGTCTATAACTGCTTTCTCCCAAACAGCAGCACTGCCTCCAGCTCCACGCTGTCCCCACCCACACACACGCCCACATTGGAAGTCCTGACCATACCCCTCTAGGCATCACCCCATCTTCTGGGACCACCCACCCCAGGACCTCACGTAGACTCTGACCTTGTAAACTGTGCCGAAAGCTCCGGATCCAAGCACCTTCACCTTCCTCAGCTCCGTCTCTTTCAGGATCCGCATCTGAGCCTGGTTGGGCATCGCTCCGCTGGGTGTCAGCGGCTCCACCAGCTGGGGTGAAGGGGTGGTGGGTCAGTGCCGGGCCGGCCGCAGACCCCAGGCCGGCTGGGAGGCCGCAGGCCACCTCACCTCCGTCTCCTGCAGCAGCCGCCGCATCGTGTACTTCCGGATCTTCTGCCGCCTTCGCTTGATCAGGATCCCAAGAACCAGCCCCATGACCACAAACAGCAGAATGCCCACCACAGCAGCGATGATGGATGTCACGGGGCTAAGGGCGGGAGCCAGGGTCAGGGATTGGGGGCAGTCTGGGGCAGGAGGGACGAAAGGGCCCCATGGACGGACATGAAAATCCTGGGCATTCACAAGGGGAAGTCGGAAGGGTGACCCACAGGCTGACTGGCCCTCGCTTCCCTACTCTAAAACCTGCCTCCTCTCCCCACTGCGTCCACAATAAAGTTCAAACTCCTTGCAGGCACTGAAGCCCTGTTCATCCACATCTTCACATACTCTATGCTCTTGCCTCGAGCTAGCTCAAGACTCTAAAACTTCATGGCCTAAAAATCACAAAGAAGCTTGTCAATTGCACCACTCTGGAGCCCCACCCCGAGATTCTGACTGCTGCACGGGGTGGGGCCCAGGAATGTGGACCCAGTGGTTCTGATACTCTAGCCCAGTGTTTCTCCCATAGGTCATGATTTTCCACACCTCCTAGCCTGTGCGCATGCTGTTCCTGCTGCCGGGGCCACCATTTCTCCACGGGGTCATCTTTCAAGACTCAGCTCTTCCTGGGTGTTGCCCCAATGTCCTTGTCATCCTTGTCCCCTCCACCCCCTTGCTCAGCACAGGGCCTGGCACATGGCAAACCTCTAATGAATGCTTGTTTCTTGGACAAATGATTGCCTAGGACATCCTCCAGTCTGGTTTTCTCCCCAAAGCCCTTCCCAGAGCTCCCCACTGGCCAATCAAGTCCAGCCCTGTAGCCTGGTGGTCAGGGCCTGTGCCCTCCGGGTCTGACCCTAACCTGATCATGACTTCACCCCTTACTCCTCTCCATGCTTATTCAATAGCCCACCCTGCCAGAACCTTTGAACACACTCTAGATTTTCCTGATACCTCCCCCAATGCCACCTTGCCCCCCAGTGCTTTCTACCTGAATGCAAGTGAAATGCCTGCCCCTCTTGCAAGGCCTGCCTCAAATGCCACCTTCTCCTTGAAGCCTCCTGCCATCCCCAGATAAGAATTCATTGTTCCCTTCTCAGTGCTACTGCTGCGCTCTTTTCAGTCGACCCCGAGTTCCAGGGAGTTGAACTTTGCCTGTGTCCCTCACAAGACATCATGCTACTCGAGAACGGGGAGGTGCTGGGTATTGTAGCTATCTCTCCCTGCAGCCCCCCACCTCCGGCATCCTGAGCAGGTCCTCTGTTCACTAACTGAAGTGAATTGAAAGAAGGATCAACAGCAGAAGGGTGGGTAGGGAAGGACAGGTATCATGTCAGGAGACTGCCTCCCTACAGCAGTGACCACCCAGGGGCCAGGAGGGAAGTGAGGGGCAATGGGGGGCAAATCTGGGGACCAGGCCAACCTGGCTCTCTGCTCAGCAGGACAGCCCTTGTCGTCCAGGTCCACACAGCTGCAGGAGAGAGAGTGCCATCAACAATTCTGGGAACCACCCTCCTGGACTCACTCCAGCTGCACAACAACCCCAGAGGCGGGCGTGGCTGGGTTATTATCCCCATTTGACAAAAGCAGAAACTGGGCTCAAGGTCACAGAGCTCTTTCTACCACCCCACAAGAGGATTCCTCCTCCAGCCTGGGCACTGCATCCCCGCTCCCCTGCACCTCCCCATGGTGGGTAGGAAGGGGGGAGCCCCTGGAAGAACATCAAGTCCGAAAGCTCAGCTTATTTCCTCCGTAAAAGAATCCCAGGGTAAGGACTGGCTGGTTAGCTCAGTTGGTTAGAGCATGGTGCTGATAACACCAAGGTCCAGGGTTCCATCCCTGTACTGGCCAGCCGCCAAAAAAAAAGAATACCAGGGTAAACTGGGACAACTTCTCCAAAGAAAAGTTTAGCAATACCATTAAATTAATGTCTAAGACCCAGCAGTTCCACCTCTCAGTGCGTACCCTAAATGTCAACACCTGTATACTAAAGGGCTTGCACAGGGATGCTTGCTTGTACACGGAGTTCAAGTGCGATAAACTCCCCCCAAAAAGGAAATAAGCTCAAAATCCCTGAAATGGGGACAGAATTAAGTTACATCCATGCTACAGACTGAGTAGTTTTTAAAAAAGGAGGTAGATCTATGTGCACTCACAAGAAATGACACATAAAGTGGGGGGAAAAAGCCAAGTACAGAATATGTACAGTGTGATCCTATTTACATTAAAAGTGCACCCAGAGAAACAAATCTGATTAAAGATAAGTTGAACTGTATGAAATGGCTGTTTTTTTGACCATTTTTGACTTACACAAACAGCAGTCTTATATGACTCAACCTAATATAAATGTAATATATCTATGTAAGTGTAAAAAGAAAAGCCTGGAAGGATGCACACCAAGTCAATCCAGTGGTTCTTCCCAGGGAAGGGAGAGACTGGGTGGGCAGGGGAGGAGTGTGCAAGGGCACTTTGTCACATGGAAAAACATTGTGAGGGCCGGCCCGGTGGCGCACTGGAGAGTGCGCCACTTGGGAGCGTGGCGGCGCTCCCGCCGAGGGTTCGGGTCCCATGTGGAGACCGGTTCCCGCTCACTGGCTGAGCGCAGTGCAGGCGCAACACCGAGGGTTGCGATCCCGTTACTGGTCGGTAAAAAAGACAAAAAGGAAAAAAAAAAAAAGAAAGAAAAACATTGTGAGATTCTGCTAAGTGAAAAAAAGTAATTTGCAAACAAACAAAAATCTTAGGACGTGCACTGATAAAAACAATTGTAGAATAATAATATATATTACCATATATATTATGTTATAATAATATATATGTTAGAATGTGCACAGATAAAAATAACTAGAGGGAAATATTCCAAATCAGTAATGGAGGCGATAGAACTTCTAGTGACATTTATTTATTTATTTATTTATTTATTTATTTTTTCCTTTTTGTCTTTTTTCGTGACTGGTAACGGGATCGCAACCCTCGGTGTCGTGCCCGCACCGCGCTCAACCAGTGAGTGGACCGGTCTCTATATGGGATCCGAACCCACGGCGGGAGCGCCACCGCGCTCCCAAGTACCGCACTCTACCGAGTGCGCCACCGGGCCGGCCCATAGTGACATTGATTTATATTTCATGTTCAAATTTAAGATTTTTAACAACATGTGTTACTTTCGTTTTCAGAGAAAAAAGATATGAAAAGTGAAGTCTGATGGGCGTGAAGGTAGAGTTGGCCCCCTTTTACAGTAAAAGCCCCAGAGAGGCTCCTGAGACGAAAGCCTCCTTTCTGCAGAAAAGGCCCTCAGACTCACGAGTGGGTGCAGTTGATGGGGCACGGCTGGCACGTGCCCTCCTCATCTGGGAACTTCCAGATGGGTATGTAGGAGAGGTCAGGCTTCACACCGCTGGGGCAGCGAGCCACGCAGAAGGGAGGGTCCTTGTAGTGGGCACAGGCCACACACTGGTCAGCCTCCTGGGTGGGGAAGAAAGGTTTGTGGGTGGCTAGAACTGACACCCCCAGGACAGCAGGACCAGGCCCTTGGGTTCCCCTTGTGCTTCCCACGGCCACTTGGCAGCACTTTTTACCCTGCTTCTTGCTAAAGCCCCTGCACCCCTGCTCTTCTCCCAGTCTACGTGGACCCCTCCCTTAGCTGCCCTCCTTCAAAGCGTGATCTCAGGTGGGGGCTTCAGAGGCACCCAGAGAGGGAACAGCAAGTAACAACCACCATTATGTAGAAAACCTTTTCAGTGCTCAGGCCTATTTAATTTCATTCTTACCACATGCCAACAAAGTAGGTCCTATCATAATATTCATTTTATGAATGGGAAACCAAGGTTGGAAGCAGGGCCTGGGTTGGAATCCAGATAGGCTGATGCCTGAGCCCACAGGTCTAAGCACCCTTGCACAGCCATGGAAGGCCAGAATACAGGACTGCTTGGACTTTTTCACAGTCTGAAGGGCCCCAAGGTCCCCAGCTTCCCAGCCTCTCTCTCCTTCCACCCCCCTGCTGTTCAGCTCTGAGCTCAGAGCNGTGGGGGCTTCAGAGGCACCCAGAGAGGGAACAGCAAGTAACAACCACCATTATGTAGAAAGCCTTTTCAGTGCTCAGGCCTATTTAATTTCATTCTTACCACATGCCAACAAAGTAGGTCCTATCATAATATTCATTTTAAAGGTGGGGGCTTCAGAGGCACCCAGAGAGGGAACAGCAAGTAACAACCACCATTATGTAGAAAACCTTTTCAGTGCTCAGGCCTATTTAATTTCATTCTTACCACATGCCAACAAAGTAGGTCCTATCATAATATTCATTTTATGAATGGGAAACCAAGGTTGGAAGCAGGGCCTGGGTTGGAATCCAGATAGGCTGATGCCTGAGCCCACAGGTCTAAGCACCCTTGCACAGCCATGGAAGGCCAGAATACAGGACTGCTTGGACTTTTTCACAGTCTGAAGGGCCCCAAGGTCCCCAGCTTCCCAGCCTCTCTCTCCTTCCACCCCCCTGCTGTTCAGCTCTGAGCTCAGAGCCCTCCCCAGGGACATTTTACCAGCCTTAGCCCACTCTGCAGCCTCTTGCCAACCTGCCACGTCCCTGACAACCCCCCACCCCTTGCTTGCTTGCACCAGCACCTCACCGATCCAAAGCAGGTCACTGAGCCATTCTGGGGCTGACACTCGGGGTGGCACGGCAGACAGTGCCTGTCATTCACGTACTCCCTGGGGAGCCTGAGAGAAGGAACGGGTGGTGAGGGGGTCTTGGGGGAGCCCCTGTGCACCCCTCCAGCCGCCCCCCTTCTCCACCCCGCATACCCCTGCAGTACTCGGCATTCTTCCACGCACTCCTGGCCCCGAAGGAACTGGCTGCAGTTGACACACTGGGTGGGCCCCGGACCCCAGCAGTGCCCGTGGGCGCACAGCGGATAGCAGGCCAGGCCCTCGCCCACTGCAGTGAGGAGGAAGGGGGCCAGAGGGGACTCTTAGGGGAGGCCCCAGGTCCAAGTGAACCAGGGGAAGGGGTTGTGGGTGTGGCTCTGGGCTGGAGGGATGGGAATAGGTGCTGGGTAGTGTAGGGGAGGAAGATTCCAGAACAGAGGGGAGGGAAGGGTGTCAGGGCAGTGCGGTAAGACCAGCTAGAACCATGCCGAGAGGCCAAGCCAGCCAGAGCCAAGGCAAATATGGTGCTCCAAGGACAGGCAGCCTGCACAAGTCCCAGAAAGCCGCTGCCAGGCACGTGGGCACCCATGTGTGCTGGCAGATGGGAGAGAGCAGCGCTGGGCTCCGTCTTACCACACTTGTCCTCTGGCCGGTTGGCACTGTAGAGCAGGGCCTGGTGCGGGTTCCGGAAGAGCTGGTCCCAGGGCACCGTGTGTACGAAGCAGAGGCGGGCGTTGCGGTGGATGAGGGCCAGTCCGCTGCCCAGTTCCCGCAGTGAGCGCAGCCCCAGCCAGCTGATGCCCAGCCCTTGCAGGGTCAGAGAGTAGGCGCCACTATGGGAGGAAGGATGTCAGCTGCAGGGTGGGCACCTGACTCCTTCCTGGTAAGCAAGGGCTGCCCTCACCTTCCCCGTGGCCCTAGCACACTCTGAGAACTCTCCGTGGGAAGGTTACTGCTGTGTCCCTGGGGAAGAGGAATACCCGCCCGTGCCCAGACTTCTCACAGGGACTCCTCCCCCTATCAGGTCCCCTCCCCCCAGCCCCCATACTCACTCGTGCAGAACTCGTCCCCGGATTACTCGCAGGTTCTGGAAGACACTGAGGTCAGGCAGGCTGTCTGGCCATGCTGAGATGTACAGGTAACCTGCAGGCAGAGAGTGAGGCTAGGGTGGGGGGACAGGGCAAGGACCCCCCAGACCCCATGGAGTAGGGCACAGAGAGACAGAGCCCACCTGTGATCTCCTCCAGAGTCTCAAACACTCTGAGTTGCTCAGGCTGTAGGGGTGCCGTGTTGGAGGCCAAGTCCCTAGAAGGATCAGGAGAGGAGTCAGCAGGGCCAGGAAGAGGGTGGGCATGACCCCCAGAGCTGGCCTGCCACTCCACGCCCCATCCCTCCGTTAATGCCTCCACTTAAACCCTTTGCCCATCAAAGCCGGCTGTTCCCATCTGAGCTTCAAAATCCAGACCCTAGTTTGACAGGATTAGCAAAACAGTATTTATATTCTTTGATTTAGAAATTGTACTTCTAGAAATGTGGCCTACAGACAATGGCCTCTGTTCCCAGAGGCACATACGAGGTAGAACTGTTCATAAGAGCAAAAATTGAAAATGACCCAAATGTAGCTCTCCACTACATAGGGGAGCTATCTACACAGCCACCTTAATTGGGACTATTCTTGCCCCCATTTTACAGATGAGGAAACTGAGGCACACCAAGATGGCCACCAAGACTAATAAGTGCTAGAGCCAGGTTTCAAACAGTCTGGCTCTCAAGGGTGGGCTCTTAGCTGCCTCTCTAGCTGCCACCATCTCCACAGCTGTTGAAAGACACAAAGTGTCATGACCAGCTCACCAGAGCAAGGGCCCAGCAGCGCGGTCCTCGTGATATGCCCCGTTTACACAGACCAGCCTCCCCAGCAAAATATGAAAGCTGAGCCCCTCCATGTGTGTGTCTACCTATGTATAAATGGTCTGGGTGGACACACACAACTGTTAACAGTGGTCCCCCAGGAAAGGGAAGTAGAGATAACAAGTGTTGAAGGGAGTTTTTTTCATTTCATAACACACTTTTTTATTGAAGCACAATTTACATACAATAAAACGCGCAGTTTTATTGGTGTGCAGTTTGATGAGTTTTGACAAGTGCATTCACTCACGCATCCACCACCCCAATCGGTGTGCAGAACATTTCCATCACCCCAAATCGGTGTGCAGAACATTTCCATCGCCCCAACCCTGAGGCAACCACTGTTCCGATTTCTCTCACAGTGGTTTCGTCTGTTCGGAGCCTCACATAAAGATTATCATACAGTATGGAATCTTGTCCTTTTTTTTTTTCCTTTTTGTCTTTTTTCGTGTCCGGCAACGGGATCGCAACCCTCGGTGTTGCGCCCGCACCTCGCCCAGCCAGTGAGCGGCCGGCCTGTATGTGGGATCCGAACCCTCGGCGGGAGCGCCACCGCACTCCCAAGCGGCGCACTGTAGCAGTGCACCACCGGGCCGGCCCTCCACATGATGTTTTTGAGACTCGTTCCTGCCGTGCGTCTCAGTAGTTCATTTCCTTTTGTTCTGAGCAGAATTTCACTGCGCCATTCGTTTGCTTATTCACCTATTTATGTACATGTGGGTTATTTCCAAATTGGGGCTATTATGAATAAAGCTGCCGTGAAATCAAGGGGAATTTTACTTTATCTGAGTGGTTTGACCTCCATACAAGTCCATGTTCATGGATCATTTACAAAAATAACCCTCCCCCCAAAAAGTCCCTGCTCCCTCTGGTCTGCCGCCTGTCTCCTGCCATCCCCCAGGTGCTGCCGCATCTGAGTCCTCAGTCCTCTCCATCTGCCCTGACACTGCCTCAGGCCACTGTGCCCACCCTTACCCATCAAAGCTCTCTGGCAGAAACGCCAGGCTGCCAAAGATCTTCTTGCAGCCAGCAAACTCCTGGATGTTGGCACTAGTGACGGCCCTGGCCTCCCGCAGGTGTTCCACGCCCAGACCGTAGCACACTGCAGGGAGTGGGGGCACGTGGTGAAGGGGCCATCTCAGCAGCCACTCGGGGCTCCAGGGTCCTGTCTGCAGTCCCCTCCTGGGACCACAGACCCACTCCCCACACTGGCAGGAGACGTGGGGAAACTTAGGGAACTGATCTGGGGAGGGCCAGGGGTAGAGACAGTGGGAGAAAAGGACTGGGTCCCAGAAAGGCCCAAAGAAGGGTGGGACAGGCCAGGCTGAATGTGCAGAGGGACAGGAACTGCATCTGACCCAGGGGCAGTGAGTGGGTACCTCGGGGACAGGGTTTGCTGCATTTCTCACACCGCTGTGTTCCATCCTCAGCTGTCACCTCTTGGTTGTGCAGGGGACAGACCAGGGTGCAGGATCCCACGTCAGTAGATAGGTAGTTGTCTGAGAAGATTAGGAACACGTATCCATGTGCCCTAGCTCGTCCCGCCCCACCAGGAGCAGTGTCACCATGCCCAGGTATAATAAGAATAAAACCAGCAAATACCTAAATGCCCTCGCCATGAGTCTGAGCACTTGACGTTTACTCACCCCTTACAGCAATCGCATGTGACCAGAACTGTTAGATTCCCATTTTGCAAACCAAAGCACAGTCATGTAAATTAAATTATTCAAGGCCACCGTGCTAGTAAGTGGAGGAGGCAGGATTTGAACCCAGGTCTGCTCTACGCTTCATCCTCTCACCCACCACGAGAAAGTCCAGCCAGGACCCGGAGGCCCACTCCCGTCTCCTGTGAAAGGAGGAAAGAGGTTCCCCGGGTCCGAGCCCAGTCCCTAAATGCCCATCAGTCAGTAAAGGAGCTGTAAAGTAAAACCCCGATCTATTCAGACTATATTAAAACTAACATTTATGACAGTACCTGCCAGGTACCATTCTTAAAGCTTTACAGATACTAACTCATTCAAATTTTATTACTACTTTATGAGGCTGGGACGATTCTTGCCCCCATTTTACAGATGAGGAAACTGAGGCAGAGCAAGGAGAAGGCCACAAGACTAGTAAGTGGTAGAGCCAGCTTTCAGACGGGCTGGCTGCCAAGGCTGGGCTCTTAGCCGCCTGTCTTTGCTGCCACCTGCTCCACAGCTGTTTAAAGATGAAGGCAGCTCGGCACAAACCATCATGACCAGCTCTCCAGAGCTCGGGCCCGACAGCACGGTCCTCACGATATGTCCCACTTACATAGACCAGCCTCCCCAGCAAGACAGTGAAGACTAAGGTTCTCCTGGCACTCACAGGGACAGGCAGTCACACAGCTGGCACCGAAGGTGTACCGGCCCTCAGGGTTGGGCATGGACTCGAAGGTGTCCGTGTTGTAGGTGACCAGGGCTGGGCAGTGCAGCTCACAGATGCCGCTGTGGTTGAAGTGGAGGCAGGCCTGGGGCACAGACAGCAGGTTGTCACTACGCTGTTGCTCTCTGGTGTGCAGGGGTACAAGGTGCCAGCCCCGGGGAGGTGGGGGGCTGGCAGGCACAGGACAAAGGCACATACCAGGCAGTCCGAGTGCTTGGGGCCTGTGCAGCCAGCAGCACATTGCTCATGGCAGCAGTCGGTGGGCAGCGGGCCCTTGCAGCGGGCACAGCCACTGGCACAAACAGTGCGTGTCACTGTCGGACAAAAGCAAGGAGGAGGGCTGCAGACCCTCACCAGCACCCACTTCTGGGGAGACTTTCTGCCCCAGGGAAGACACCCCAGGTCTGGTATCCCGCCCCTCCCATGTCACCTGTATTCCACCCTGCCCAGCCCCCAGATTCTGGCCCTCCCTAGGACTCACAGCTCTGACAGTCCTCAGAACTTTCTCCCCAGCAGCGGGAGGCATTACAAGCTGGAGAACAGGGTCGGCCTGAGGAGAGAACCAGAGAGGCGGTGACAGATGTGTGGGGACGAGAAGGACGACGGCTAACAACGGAGCGAGACACGAGCAGCCACAGAGACCAAGAGGCAGCATGCACGGCGAGGGAAGAGAAGGCTCCAGAAGCAGAGGGAGAAAAGGCAGAGAAGCACAGAGACGAGGGCACGCGGGGACACGGCAGCAGGCACTGAGAAAGAGGAAGTGGCAGGGTCCGCGGCTGCAGGGGGCTGTACGCCGGGAGCGTGGGGCCTGAGAGAAGAGGCTGCAGGCGGGGAGCGCGCAGCTTACAGGCCCGGGAGCGGTTGGTGTCGATCAGCGTGCGAGCCAGCTGGTTGTTCTTGTGGAAGATGTCCTTCCACAGAATTGTGTCCTGGTAGCAGAGCTGGGGGTTCCGCTGGATCAAGACCCCTCCCTTCAGGATCTCTGTGGGGTGAGCAATAATCAGGGGACCCCTGCCCCATCTGTGACCTCCTGTCCTCCCTCAGGGCCCTCCTGCCTTCTAAAAGGGGAGCAGGCCTTTTAAACAACTCCCAGGTTCCCCGGGGGAGCAGAGAAGATACCTTCAGCCTCTTCTAGCCCTGCCCACTGCCCTCCCCAACATGAACACACTGAGTCCCAGGGAGGAGCGAGCTGTCCACGTCAGGGTCCAGATGTCCACAGGGACATGAGCTCTTTCCTTGCCTCTCACCTCTGCCCTGTGCACATTGCTTGGTAGTTAGAAGACAGACTGCAGAGTCTGAACCCAGCTTCACCACTAACTAGCTGTGTCACCTTGAGCAAGTCGCTCACCTGCTGCAGGCTGCAGTTTTCTCATGTGTAAAATGAGAAGAACACTGATGCTCCCCTTGCAGGATTACAGCCTGACTGAGATGGGCTCAGGCATGAAAACAGCCTGGCACCCAGAGTTTGGGACACTGTCAGCTCCAGGGCCACCGCATTACAGTGTCATAGGTTGTTGACTGCATACTTGCACTCAGCCGTGTGGGGACAAAAACCTAGCCTGCATTTTAGTTATCAAATTGTGCATGCTGGCCCAAGCTGAGACTTTCTGGAAAGAAGGGAAATCTTTTTCTAATCTTCACAGGGCACCTTCCCTGCCTCTGCCTGTAATCACCCAGAGAGGACACCACTTCTAATTCACAAAGCCTCCTGTGGCTAGCAGCGGCCCTGGTCAGCTCTCAATAATCAAGAGAAGGCTTCAAAATAATTTTTCTAATCTTCACAGGGCACCTTCCCTGCCTCTGCCTGTAATCACCCAGAGAGGACACCGCTTCTAATTCACAAAGCCTCCTGTGGCTAGCAGCGGCCCTGGTCAGCTCTCAATAATCAAGAGAAGGTTTCAAAATAAATAAATAAAAATAAATTTAAAAAAAAAAAGAGAGAAGGTTTCAATGATGGTGAAGGCCACCTGTGAGGCTTCGAAGCTGCAGCTCCCGCAGCCCTCCTGGGGCAGCCCCCATGGCAGGGGTGGCACCGTCCTGTGGGTCTCCGTTGTCTAGCACGGCCAGGGCATAGCTGTCCTCGAAGAGCTGAGTGCCTCGTACAATTCGCAGTCCCTGCAATGGGACCTGCCTCACCTGGCTGTGAGCGATGAGCACGTATCCCTGCACCTCCTGGATATCCTAGGAAGGGATAGGGAAGGGTGGGGCTGAGGCAGGCCTGGGCCTCCTTGGGGTCACCCAGTGCTTAGGGATCTTGGGCAAGGCCCCCAGCCACAGTGCAGTCCTCATGCATAAAATGGAGTTCAAGCTTCTCCCCACCTTGCCTCACCAGATTCTTGTACGATCAAGAAAGACAATGGCTGGGGGTGCGGTATTTTGTAAACTGTGAGCAAGTGCCCCGCCCGCTGAACGTCTCACTTTCCTCATCCATAAAAGGAAAGGCTGGACAAGATGACAATTTGACAGGCCCAGCAACGCACACGTGGCCCCACTCCAGGCCCACGAACATAACTCAGCAGGCCAGTTTCTACTTTCTCTCCTGCTCATAACCTTTTCACAGACATATCTCTTTTGATCTTCACAATGGGTCCCTCAAGATGCCTATTGCTCCCAATATATAAATACGGAAACTGAGACCCAGGGAAGCTAAGGGTCATTCACATGGCTCCTCAGTGGCAGAACCAGACCTGGAACCCGCATCTCCCACCAGCCCTTTCCATTACTCTAGCCTGGGGCAGGTGGATGGGGAGGTAATCATGCTGGCAAAAGAGCACAAAATTTAGCAGAAATATAGATGCATCCCATCCAGAGATGTCCACAGCCAGCGACGTTATAGAGAGGGAGTCGACTGATTTTGCAGTAGAACGAATGGGGCTTAGACAACAGAAAGGACTTCCTGGTTGAGAAACCACAACAAGAGAGGAAATGCAGAGAGGGACGCCCTCTTTTACCACCCACCTATAAGCAGAGGGCTCAGCCCAGCTAGAGGCAGGACCTGGCTGGGCTATCCAAGGGCCTCACCTGCAGGAAGGAGAGGCTGGCATTGGCAGGCAGGTAGGTGAGTTCCAGGTTGCCCTGTACCACCTGACAGCCCTGGTAGAGGTGGCGGAGCATGTCCAGGTGGGTCTCGGGACTGGCTGGGAGGCGCAGCTTCATGTCTGTGCCGGTGCATACTGGCAGGAGGAAGCAGATGGGTCAGGGGACGCTGCCCAGTGACCTTCCTCTACCTGGCTGCCTCACCCACACTCACTCCCCAGAGTCCTGCCGACTCAGACAGGGACCTCTCCTCCCATGCCCCTTGCACCTGCAGGGTTAACAGCAGAAGAAAGCTTGCATGTCTGGGAAGAGCAAGGAAACCAGGGAGAGGCTCCTTCTGGCTGGTCCCACCCTGAGCATCCAGAGGGGGCCCCAGTGTGCCAGCCCCATGGAACTTGCCCATCAATACAGGGTGTTGGCTGGCAAAGAAAGCCTCCCTTTGTCCCAAAGGCACGACTCAGGGCCAAGGGGTAAAAATCCCCCAAGAGAGGCGATGATGAATCATGAATCTTCTGGATACCCCCTGCCCCTCTCCCAAGCAAACAAACTCAGGGCATTCCAACACACCCACATGTCAACCTCCTGGCAAGGGATACCCACCCCATAATGCCACCCAGAAAGTGGGGAAGGAGGGTCAGCTGGAGTCGTAGCTGGGGCACGGGGGCAGCCAGGAAGCTGGTCACTGCAGAGACCTCTGGAACTCCCCGATGCGGAGTAAAGGAGCATCAGACTCCAGCTGTGTGCATCCGGACCCAGGCCGAGGGTACCAGGCCAGGCGACGCGTGCTCCAAAGGCTCCTACGCTGGCACCCTCACCCTTGCCACCTCCTCAGGGCAAGACTCCAAAACCAGCTGGCAGAATCTATGCCACGAAACTCCTGCCACAAAGGCACTACGTCAGCCCTGCATACCTGCCCAGTGCCAACCATCAACCAAGGGACATCAAGTTGAACTACCATACCTGGCCCACCTGGACTTCCAGCCTGGCGTCCCTGAGACCAGAAGTGCCCACTAAGCCCAGGGATCCTAGAGGGGGTGAACCAGCCCTGGTGAGGGGGCATCTGGGTAGCACCCAGCACCATGCCTGCCAGCAGGGGGAGATTAAAGTGCCCAGTTGAACTCGTTTTTCTGCTCTAGTGAGATGAATCACCTGGTGCGTCCTGCCCAGGAGGTTGTGGCGGGGAGGTGGGTGGAGGGCGCCCTCAGACACACAGGTCCACAGGTGCCTGAGCTGCCCAGAATTCCTGTCAGTCACTGCTCCACCTCCCACAGACTACAAACAGATTCAGGGACAGTGCAGTGGCTGACTTTGGGGTCTGACACCAAGGGCCCTGCTCTCCCATGCAACTGGGAGCCTAAGGTCAAATCCTCGGGGATAGTGAGATACCCCACCCCCCACCTCCGGAGAGCTGGAGAAGGGTTGGCAGGGCAAAGCCCCCAGTTCTCAGCTTGAGCCAATGGCCACAAACTGGTGGCCATTCAGGAACACTCAGAGTGGTCTCTATCTCCACCCTCTAGGCAGATAGGGACAAAAGCAGAGGGAGAAAGAGGAGGGCCCAGAAATAGAACTCAGGGGTCCGTGTCCCAGACCGAGGAGAGATTGCCAGGCCTCCCACTGCAGGCCTCACCCGCTCGCACCCCCCTTCTGCAGCCCCTCCCCCCGCAGACTCCCCAGAGGAACAGGAGCTGGGGGTGGCAGGCCAGGCCCAAAATAACGCCCTGCTGCCAGGACCTCCCCCGGCTTCAGCTGCTTCACAGGCACAGCTGTCTCCAAGCCCAGACCCCAGGCCCTGGCCCAAGCCTGGGACAGGACCTCCACCCCCTGTGGCCCTCTCCCAGGGACACCAGCTGTGGCAGCTAGGCAATAGGAAAACAACAACACAGGGAACTGGGCCGAGCACCTACTGTGTGCCCAGCAGACACTCTAGGTGGATCCTCACAACATCCTCCAGAGACTGGGACTGCAACCTCTGTTCTGCAAAGGAGGAAACCGGCTGGCAGGGCCTGATTCTCCCGAGGTCATATAGCTTGTGAGAGATAGAGGCAGGATTTGAACCCAGATCTGTCTGACTTGAGATCCCACATTCCTTCCACTAGGCCTGACTGCACGCACACAAGTACGCTTCACACCCTACAAAAATGTAAATACACACTAACTCTCCTATGTCACCAATAAACATTACAGGTCCTAGGCAGGGCAGGGTGGCTGGACTGGGTGGGAGGGTTGGAAAGGGTGTGGTCCCACCCCGTTGGCAAGTTTGTTTACCTAATTTGTGGCCGATTTAAGTCTGGTTAAGACTCCAAGTGTCTGCAGACAGGTGGTAAAATTGGACCCTGCAACCGAATCCCGGGGAGCTGGAGGCTCAGTGGCTAACACCCCAGCCCCCCTGACATGGCCTCCACCCCTCCCCTGCCTCCGTGTCCTTACGCTCCCCCAGCTCCTCACCAGTCTCCCCTCACCAGTCCCCGTCAGAGTCCCTATGTCCATCCTGCCCCCATTGATTTTCTTGGGGAGTAAAAGGTCCTAATTCCACACAGGCTGTTCTTCATTTCCAGGACCTTGCCCCCCTCTCTGAAGCCCCCACCTCCCATTCTCCGGGGCACAGACAGCAAGAGGCAGAGCCGGGGCAGTGCCCACAGCGCACGCTGGAGAACTGTTTGCTGCATGAGTGAAGTGGGCTCTCCAAACCAAAAGGACCCAACTGCGCAGAGCTGGTCACAGTCTTTCATGTCCCTCCTGCTAGACTTGGTGGTCAGGGTTTAGCCCCAGTCCTGGGGCTTTTTAAGTGAGTTCTCCCGTCCCACCAGCCTTCAGCCCTCGCTGCTTCTCTTGCTCGTAGCATGACAGCCACTCCTCCTTTCCATGAAAACTGCCAGTAAAACCACCTGCATCCCCAAAGCTTCACCTCTCCCAGAGCTGTGGGGCCAGAGCCCATGGCAGTGATACCAGGACTCACCATCACACACACCTGGTATAATATATCAGGCTTGACATGAGACCAGGGCTTGGGCTCAGGGTCTTTAGACAGAACCCTGTCTCGGCCACTCACTGTGTGACCTTGAGCAAGTCCCTAGACCTTCAGGGCAGAAGCTAGATCAGATTCACCTCCAAGCCCGGCACTGCCTGTGACTTAGTAGGCACTCAATGAATATTTACTGACCTAAACTTGGCTGTAACAACTCTTACTCCTCAGAGAAGGTACATGAGAGTCAAGTGAGAGCGTGAATCGGGAAGCACTCTGTAAACATGACAAGGCTTTGTAAACAGGACTGGGGCGACACAAACATTAGCTAGAATAATTCTCCCACTCCTTAAGAGAGCACACATCCCTGCCCCTAACTCGTCTCTCTTCCCAGGGGTGGAGAGGATGGGTGGCCTAGGAAAAGACAGAGGTATCACTTTAGAGGGGCTTTCCACCAGTGGAGGGGGGTCTCTTTCTAGATCATTCCATCACCAAGGGGCAGACACAATTATCCAGGGCCCTACCCCAGCCCCCCAGCCCCACACTGGCCCCTCACGCTTCCACTCCAGCTGTCTCTCTTGCCCACAGCCCTGTGTGTCTTGGTGGTCCCTGCTCCCCTCCTGACCTCAGCCCCCTGCCACACTGGGAGGGCAGGCATGGGCTAGACAGGAAAGGAGAGGACTCCACAGCCAGGAGGGGACCCCAGGGACCCCCAGCTCAGCTCCTCTTTCTATAGCCTAGGTAAGTGGATGGGAAGGTCATTTACCTGAACAGCAGAGGGGCATCTCTACTCCCATCCGGCCCTGGCTGCCCCTAAGGCTTTGCTTAACCCATTCCTGTTGAATGGAATAAGACTTTGACCAATTCTTAATGCCTCCTCGTTAGGGTCCAAAAGTGCCCAAGTGCCCTGGACATTACTGGATAGCTGGGGAGCCTTGGAAAAGTTGCTTCATTTCTCTGAAGTTAGTTTTCTTATCTGCGCACCTACACCACAGGATTGTTGCAGAGATGAAATGAAACTATCTATGGCTAAGAACCTGGCCTATAGGAAGCTCATTGTACATTTTTTAAAAGTTAAGGCAAGAGAGGTTCACCCAGCAGGAGTACGGGTAATCCAAAACCAGGAGAAAATAAAAAGTGCTTTGTATTTGACTTTGGAAGGCAATGTATTTTTCTTTTTTACATTTGATCCTATCTTTTCAAGTGTTTTTTTCTTGACTATTAAAATGAGTACTTTCCCTAAATATAGTAAAAAAGAGGGAAGGAGGCTGTTGGAGAATGACACTGGAATTAAAATATGAATGAGCTCTGCAAGAGTAAAAGGATGTGTTTGATGCAATTTACAAAACCTTGACCTCTAAGAAAGGAACTCAGTAAAATCCTGACCCTCTGGGCCTACCCCCAGGTCTCCTCTTCCGCCACATTCCTGCCCCAACCCTTGGCCCTGGGGTGAGGGCTGCCTTTTTAACCATCCCCTGCACAACACACCCAGCAGTGCAGGTCGAGGGGACGTGACAGAACCCACTCCCGTCAGATCCCAGCTCTGCAGCCACCCGGTCCCTCTCTGCCTGCTCAACTCCCAGGCCAAGGTAAGGAGGGCAACACTCGGCCTGACCACCCAGCCTGGCCTCACCCTTCTCATCAGAAGGTCAGAGGTGAAGATGCCCGCCTAGGAGACCGGGAGGGAAAGGATGGGCTTAAGGGAGAGCGGCGCCTTCCTCCTCCTGAGAAGGCCTGGGGCCACCTCCTGCTGTTTACAGCACATCTGGCCCAGCACCTTGAGGGAGTTCCTGGAGGGCAGAGTTCAGCCTGTGTCCCCAAGTCAGCAGGCAGAATGCTGTTTGACAACACAAAGCCCAGACAACTGAGGAACACCCTTGCATAGACACGCAGCCTCAGACACTCACATTGACAGCCCTCGAATAACACGGCCATGCACTGACAGAGGGCCCCTCAGGCAATGCACGGCCAGGATGACATGCACCCCCTCCCCAGACTCCCCGACCTATGGAAACCACCCACTACTCCCAGAGCACTCTCATTTCATCTTCCCCACAGCCCAGCGACTCGGGGAACAGTGTTGCCCATTGTTCTAGGTAGACCTACGTAGTGATTTTGAATGTGCGGCTGGGTCCAGACTGGGCCCCACCACTTACTGGCTGCTACTGGATCT